AATCTTCCCTGCTGAATTCTCAGTATACCAACACTTACAGAGAAAAGCCAATCTCGGCTATGGACTAATGATTTCTCAAGATCACAACCCTTTTCCAGAAAAAAAAAAAAAAAAAAAGCAATCCTTGAACGAATATTATCGTGATCAAATATAGATCTCAGTGCCAACCAAACGATTTCATTAATTCCAACTACAGTAAGATAATCAGAGTATTTCGACGTGGACACGTGGTGCCAACGGACAGTCGTTCAGCCATTTGTCAATGCAATTAAGGTATATTACATAGGTACCCACGGAATATTCACTTTGAAAAATTCGAATATGTACTTTTTTTGAACGGAAATTTCATCAATAAATTAACAAATTACACAAATAAAAATTATATTTCCTATTATTAATGTGGGTCACATATTTTAATTAACAATTATATTGTGCTATTTAATAAATAAATTTAATTAAGGGGTCAACAATTATATTGTACTATTTAATAAATGAGTTTAATTAAGTGGTTTAATTAGGAGAGTCTAATAAAATTTTTAATAAGAGATAATAAAGAAAATAACATAATTAGTAAAGTGATTAATAAATTATAGCATATTTTTTAAAAATAGTAAATTAAAACATAATTTGATATTTTAAGTTTTAAATATTATACTTAAAAATACTCTTAAACCTCCATTTTCACCTCACTCCTCCCCCTTAAAGATATATTTTTTTAAAAATAGTAAATTATAGCATATTTTTTAAAATAGATAGATTATAGTTAAGTCCACTATGGCCGGGACCGGCGGCTAACTCTGACGACCGAAGACCATTTTCTGACAGCCTATGACTGTTTTTCGGCGTCCGATGACTGTTTTTCAGTGACTGTTTAACATTATATTTACTGGTATTTGCCATTTAATATCGTATTTACTAATAATACCATATTTACCTGAAAAGCCAACCACCGACTATGGTGACCGGTTAACGCTGTAATTACAGGTAAATATCGTATTTACCAAGAAATATCTTATTTACTAGTAAATATCATATTAACCTAAAAATTCGGCCACCGACTTCAGTGATCGTTCAACACTGTATTTACTAGTAAATATCATATTTATCTGAAAATTCAGGCACTGATTCCAGCGACCGTTTAACACTGTATTTAGTAATAAATATCGTATTTACCAGTAAATACTGTATTTACGAGTAAATATCATATTTATCTCAAAATTTGACCACCGACTCCAGCGACAATTTAACATTGTATTTACTAGTAAATATCATATTTAACTGAAGATCCTGCCATCGACTCCGGCGGCCATTGAACCCTGTATGATTCTAAACTATAACTACTAAGTATTTACATATAAATACAATATTTACCATATTAAAATTGTAGTTACTGAAGTATTTAAAGGTATTACAATATTTATCAGATGCAAACTTGTAACTACTAAAATATTTACTGATAAATACAATATTTACCATATTTAAAATTAAAATTACTAAAGTATTTACCGGTAAATACAATATTTAACAGATTTAAAAAACAAATACAAAACCAAATTTCACAAAAATTCTACAAATTCCACAAATTCTCGAATCTCAATCGCAAACACAATCACAAACACATATCACAAAATCAGATTCAAACTTATATTTTAATTAAGTATTTACTAGTAAATACAATATTTATTGGATTCAAATATTTACTAGTAACCGTATTTATCCAAACCACATAACTCAGTAGGAATCATATTCCTGAGAAAATGATAGGGGGTAATATGATTTCCAAGAATAATACATTACTGTGTTTGTTTTATACATGAATCTTGTCTTAGATTCTCAAGAATAATACGTTACTGTGTTTAGTTGTGCATGAGAATGTTATGTATTAAAAAAACATATTTTTTAAATGAATTACAATTATCACTAATATTTTTTAAAATATTTAGCCCATAACATTAGCACTAATATTTTAAAAAGTATAAAATACAACATAATAAGTAGTCCATAAAATTATTAAATTATCAACAAGTAGTCCATAACAAAACCAATAATATTAGATAAAACAAAGCAACACATCAATATATTTTTATTAAGAATCACAACAACAATGGCATACATATTTATTAAAAATCACAACAACAATGTCATACATATTTATTAAGAATCACAACAACAATGTCATGCATAAACCATATCAATGGCGATTTTTTCGCCATTGATCAAACATTTCCCTAGCCAAGTTATTTATGCATGTAGTCCAAGCATTGGATGTTTCAATATGTGTGTAATGCTCTATTTCTTCTTCTTCCTCCTCCTCCTCCTCTTCTTCTTCCAATTGTTTTTCATAAGGATCAATATCCACACTACAACAACAAAAGGGGCTTTTTTATAGCTTTTAGTTATAGCGTTTTTAAAAAATCGCTATTAAAACTTATTTTGATTACATTTTATAGCGTTTCTAAAAAGTTATTTTCGGTGTGTGTGTATATATATATATTAAAAAATCATAAAATATTTTGGCGGGTTGTGAACTTTCAAATTCCCGCTCGCTCCATTCTCCTTTTTTTTTCCTGCTTCGCTTGCTACTGAAATTCTCATACGAACAAATGCTTCCCCACTTTGTGAAGAGGCATTTAGCCGGCCAAGGAAAAAAAAAAAAAAAAAAAAAAAACCCCACTCGACCCGCCGCTCTTCCCCTCAAATTCACAAAATACAGCCATCTTTCTTATTTCATTCTAGCATTTTCAGAATCCCAAATTTTTCTCGCTCTTATTTTCTCTCCTCCCAAACAGAAAATTTACTTCTCTCTATGCTCTAGATCTCTCTCTCGCTCCTTCTCTCTCTAGCTCTAGATCTCGCTCTCGTTATAGATCTCTCTTTCTCGTTAAACCGTTGGTTGAAGATCTCGTTAAAGCCCTTTCCTCAACCGTTGATTTATTGCAATCGCCGCTGATTCTTGCCGTCGCGGACTCCAATTATTGCTGTCGCCGATTCCGATTCTCACTGTCGTTGTCGCCGCTGCCGATTCTCGTCGCTGCCACGGCCGATTGGTTGTTGATTCCAAAGTTTCGAAGTTCGGTGAGCACGTCCATTTAGCCCTTTCTTAGCTTCTGTCAAACATTTCTTTGAAGAGATTTCCTTACTTCACTATGACTTGAGGCTGTATGATGCAGATTCAAAGAGTTTTTTAGCTAAGCTTCTAGATTGTGTCAATTCGTTGCCGACAACCCCGAGGATATTTGAAGTTTCTTCATCGTCGGTACTCTTTCTCTCTGTATGCTTATCATCTTTGTTGGGAGCTTCATTTGGAATTTGAGGACTTGATAGAAGGTGAAAAATGATTTCTCATTGTTTCTGATGATAGTAGTTAATTTTGTTTTGGATAAAATTAGCAATTCATGTATGTTTTGTGTGGATTTGGCTGGCATGATCTTCTAGGTGTTTGTTAAAATGTCTAAGAGAGTTTAGTGTTGTAAGTCAAAAAAAGGTCTAAAAGAGTTTATTGGTTGCAATGACAGAATATGTTACCAAAATCCCTTCTGCTTAACATAAGGCCTTGAGGACCAAAACCAGACTGTGGGTATTTATTTTACTGCTTTCATTGATAGCTATTTCACAATGCATATATATAGGATCTGGGATGAGCATGGCTTGTTTTTCTTTTTTGAGGTGGTAAATGGGCTATTATTGTGTAATATCTAGGACGTCACTTTTAAAAGTGGATTGAATTGATGACAAATTGTTTTTCTTTTTGTCATGATTTCTATTGTCTTTTTTTTTTTTTTTTTTTTTAAGTTTTTGTTACTCTTACTTATGAGCTTTCAATTGTCATGATTCATGTTGTTCTTTGTTGGGGTTATTGAAATTATTTTCTTCGTTCCTGAAATGTTATATTTGTTGGATCATGGTAGTTTTTCTACTCTTATATACTTCTTAACAATTTGTGATGATCCTCATTTGGAGCTGATTCCTTGCCTAGACAGAAACCTTATTTACCAAATGAGGTTGAAGCTGGATCTTTCTGTGATGGGGCATTATGAGAGACATTGCCCACTTAAACCGCAGGCTGCAGTAAGTCTTAGTATATTAAAAGGTGAATATATAGCTCAACTGGTACTCATGGTCCCTTTCTGTTGTTTAATTTTATGAAGAATATACACACAAATTTATATTATATGCAAATGACATGTGTATGTATATATGTATATTATATGTAGATGACAGATAAAAATATGCATAGTCATAGACATGTGTATGTATATATCTATTTTTAGAATCTTCATTCATATTTCTTTCCAATCCATTTAACTTGCCCTGTAGGACAATTAATCTTAACTATGCTATCGGATTTGTGCAAGAGATATTAGGACTTCCAATTCTTTTCTTTGCATTCTGTTTTGATATATAAGGTCGGGAGATGCTGGCCTTTTTGTTTGAGTTTGTGTTTTCTGAATTTCACTTTGCTTGTGAATTGCCTACTTTTTTCTCTTCGGGTGTAGGCAATGAAGACTCATGCTTTCTCCAACTATCTACATAACAATACATATAAGATACTCTGTCTTACAAGTTTGACATTAAATTTTTACCTAGTGCATCATTGAAGCCATGTTTCCTCTAACTCACTGCAAAACATATGTGGATGTGGCTACGTAGTTGTGAATGATGTAACTAGTCCTTGCTTTATTTATAGGTTAAATGGTGGAAGTTTTAGTTGAGTTTGATTATTGTTTTGATAGTGGATCACTTTTTTATACGTTAGACGGTGGAGATGACTTTTTTGTTGAAGTATTTTGTCAAGATGGAAGGATTTACTTCACCATTTCACTTAGTTAGACGTTTTGAATATTTTGATATCTCCAGCTATTCCTCTGTTTTCTTTACTTGTTTTGAATGTTAAGGTTTTAGACATTGTATGAATTATGTTGTGGATGTAATTTTATTGCCAACTTGGTAGATATTGAGAACAATTGATAAGTTGAATGTTTTTATGTTTTAATTTGAATGTTCCTATTTAGATATAAGATGTTGCTCGGAATTACCATCTATTTGAATGAATTTAAAAGGATATCAATAATAATTTTAAAAAGCTACAAGAGTATGAACATGACAAGGAAAAAAAGCTATTAATATGTATCGTAGTCATGCTAAATAGCTGTAAGAGGTTGAAAATAACTTGTCTTAAACGCTATAATACCTCAATTCTATAGCGCTTTCAATCACTCTCTTAGAACGCTATGTTTTCTGACGATTTTTAATAGCGTTCGATGTCCTAGCGCTCCACAAAACGCTATTGCTAGTGACTAATAGCGTTGTTGGTCAGCTACTAATGCTGATATTTCTTGTAGTGCCATTTCCCTTATAATTAAGTTGTGAAGAAGACAACATTAGGAGCAATAAAAAATGATCCATAAGAGAAACTCCCTATTGACATAGTAATACCAGCTAAGAAGCCACAATTTTGATAATTACTTTTGTCATCAGTAGATCAAATCAATAAAATTGATTGGAAAAAAATTATCAGACCAATAATTAAAAAAAAAACTAAACTAAACTAATTTAGAAAAAAAAAAAAAAAAAAAAAACTAAAAGAACTAAACCCAGACACAGATTAAAAAATGACAATTTCTAAACCACATACAGTTTGGAATCCAAACCATCAGACATCAAACTTAAAACAATCTGTAGAAGAAAACCTCCAACAATCAAACTTTGACGATCAGAATACGAAAAACTCCAAACAATAGTACTTGGCCCAAGAAAGTGACCAACTTGTGCAAGTGCGTAGCAGCCTTGAGAGGATATTGTGTTGATGGGAGGCGGCGGCGGTCTGGTATTGAACCAGCGGGAGGCTTGGAGAGATCTGGACGACGAATATTCAGGTTTTCCACAGAGGAATTTGAGCGGTGACAACCTAAAGGATTGACAGCTGCTGGGCTCGTGACAGAAGGTCTCCCAATAAGGTTGAGCTTGCGCGGCGACGGTGGCGGCTCTTTCTCTTTCCTCCCTCGATTTGCAGTAGTTCCCTTTTTTTTTTTTCTAAAGGAAAGTCCAACAACGTAGTTGAATGGTAGGCGATAACGGCATGGTCGACGGAAGAGCAGTGCCAGACTAGACGAGAAAGAAGAGGCTGGACTGGAAAAAAAAATAGGTGAGAGTCAGAGAGATGTTAGGGTGAGATAGAGGTTAGGACTTATTTTTTTTCCCGTAATATTACATTTTTCTAAAAATATTTGTATGAAAGGTTTTAAAATAGAAAAATTTATATATGACTTTTTATTAAAATTTTTAATTATAATAAAAGTGAAATTAAAAACTCAAATCGGTAATATGAACATCAACGACATTTCTCTGGAAACAAATAAAACTATCAAACCACCAAATCTCATCCACGGCAAAAGAAAATAAAAATGAAAATCAACAACGCAGCTTCCCGGCGAAGTCCATGACGGTGAAATTGAAAGGATGACGAGGAACCAGCTTTGCGACTTCCTGGTGAAGTCTTCTTCTCTGACGTCGATTCACAACTCAGCTCATCTTCTCCGAAGCTGATTCGTGACGGAGGCGAGAGAAGAAGCGCGACAGAGCTTCGTCCTCGCTGTTGCAAGCAACATTGCGATGGAGGCTGCATGAAATATAGCCTCATGAAGCCGACTGGAATGGCGGATCGGAATCGCAAACCTTCGGTCGTCGGAGATCTGTGCGCTTCAGACCGGAACACTATCGGGACATTTGTTGTCGCGACTCATGCTCCGCCGACTACTTTGGAGGACGCGGCGGCATCAGCTGAGATTAGGGCTAGGGTTTGTAGATGAGAGAGATGCGAAAGAGAGAGAGATGAGTCGAAGAGGGGAAGAGAAAGGGAGAGAGAGAGGGCAGCTGGCTTGGTTTCTGTGAGGAAGAAAGAAAAGAAAACCCTAAACGAAAGGGTAAATGTGGAAAAGCACATTTGATTATAAAATATGTTATTTGTTGTATTTTTCCATCTAAGAGAATATGAGATAATTGAGTAGATACTCAATACTTATTCGATAAAGTTTAATGAGAGTTTAATGAGATAAGTATATAAGGGCTTACATGTTATGATTTCTAATACGTCAACTTTGGAGATTTGACTGAAAAAGATAATAACCGGTTAGTCAATCATCGTATTAATTTGACAATAGTGTCGATTGTTACTATAATGGATTCATGTACGTTTCTTCTATTTTTTTTAGTAGTTTAGCATGATGGTTTTTTAAATTTATGAATATGGTGGTTAAAATCTATGTTTATAATTAAAGACTAATAAGTTGTATCAAAGTGATCATTATGTTAAATTATTAAGAGATTTTTCACCAATTTTTCGTTTGTTGTTTTTGGCCATACAGTGCTTCGGCCATATAGCTTTCTTTGGTGATATGTAAGAAAAAAATAGAAAATTTACCTTTAGTGCGTAAGTCTGTACATTTACTTATTGTTCTTAATAAATACCCTTTTTATTAGTGTAATTATTTGACTAAAAATGTTATGAATTAAGAATAAATAAAAGCTTAAGCTGTTAGGAGGGGGCCAACAATAGTTTTATACTTTAACACTCTCCCTCACGCGTGGACTGCACAATAAGCAATCGTGTAGGTAAATTAATTAGAAAGCCCAACACGTAAATTTTAAGCCCGAGATATATTAAAGACCCAATACATGATGACAATTTAAATGGGGACAAAGAGTGCAATTACGGGGGTTTCAACTCAGGATTTCCCGCTCTGATATCATGTTAGTTTACCAATTCATCCTAAAATCTTAAGCTATTACGATGTGAAGCAACAATAATTTTATACTTTAACTCATAAAAATCTTAATTCATGCATTTTAAAAGATATTTATCAAAATTTCCTATTCTCGGCCATATATCAATTTTGCTCCTTTTATATCAGTTCCGTTGATATCGATTTCAGAAACTTTTTTCCTCGTTGATATATAGTGTGAAATTGATGCATATATACAGTTTGCCATGTACAATATTGTTCGGCCATATGGTTTTGCTTCCTTTATTGATATTCTCTATGAATGGTATATGATACTATATATAATTCGTTTATATATATCATTCGGTTTGGCCTTTTAGTTTACCGTTCGTTTTGTTTCGGCATCTTCAATATATTGAATATTCAGTGTATATATTTGGTTTGCTTCTCAATGGATTCCCTTGGTTTTCTGAATCATTTGTAAAGGTCTTAAGTGAAGAATATATATACACACATAAGTTTTAATTTGCCGTCGGTTTATTTGGAATTCTTTGAGATTATGTTTTGAGGATTTAAGAGATATGGCCGGAAGCAGAATCCGGCCACGACTGTCAGGCCGCGACAATGAGAGATTGGCGGTTGTTTGGCCGCCTTAGGAAACACAAAAAAAAAATTAAGGATTTAGCCGGCGGCGGCCTCCGCCCCGCCAGCATCAGTGTTCTCTGGTCGCGGCCGTCAGGCCATGCCGAATCGGGACAGCTGCGGCCGTCCGGCTGCGGCATCTGGATGTGGCGGCTGTTTGGCCGCATGAAGCTTCTGGTTGCAGTTAGCAACCCTCTAGGCTTTGCAGCCCAGAGATGTGGGCCGGACAAGGAACACATACCCAATTGAGCATGTGACTTAGCCGGCTCTTTGGAGACACGAATGAGGCATTTTTAAATGCCATTTTGTGGCAATTTGGGCATTTAAAGCCCATTTTGGTGTTTTTTTTGGGGTGTTTTGGGTACTTTTAACCCACTAAAGAATTAAGTGAAAATTAATTAAAAAATAAATATTTGATTAAATAAAATAAAATTTTAGTTTTTTATATTTAATTATTATTTTACTCCAGTTTTTGCACTATTTATCTTATATTTTAAAATTGATTAATTGAAATAATATGTTGTCAAAGTAAACTCTATTGCAGAAGTTAAATTATTTTGAAATATTAAGATGTGTATGCTTATTATTTATGCAAATAATGATCAGCTCAAAAGAAGACTATTATTTGGCCAAATAATAGACATATCTGTGGTACTAAATATGTGATGATTATCAAGTATTTATCCATGTGGGCATTAAGTCAGTCTAAAAAAAGGTTTATTGTTTGACAGTACTAATTGTCAATATTTTATTACTATACAAAAAGTAGCACTTACTGTGGATATTTTTGCCCAAACACTAAATATTAAGATTTTGTGTGTTTGTTATTTTATGCGAATTGTGACCGGCCTAAAGGAATGTTATTGTTTGGCCAAATTATAGACACACATGTGGTAATAAATACGTGACAATTATAAAGTTTTCCATGTGAACAATAGTCGGTCCAAAGAAAGGTTATTGTTTGACAAGATTAATTGTCAGTATTTAATTACTGCGTTGAGAGTACCACTTACAAGTTGATGTCTTCATCCAAAGACTAGATGTCAATATTAGGTATCTTATGATTTGGCCCACCATTATATGGATTGTTTAATTATGTCATGTATGCATTTTAATTATTGAATGATTATGCTTATGTTATGACATATTTAATATAGATTGTGAGCTTGTTATTTTGTTTTGATTCTCTGTATAGTTTTTACTTCTGCTTGTAGAATATATGCCAATATCAAGTCTATTATTGTGTTTAACGGCACAAACTTTAAGAATTGGAAAGAGAACATTATGATTGTTCTCAGTTGCATAGATCTTGACCTTGCGCTTCGGATTGAACGTCCCTCCTACTCTCACTGCTGAAAGTTCTTTTCAGGTTTAAAGGGACTTAGAGAAGAGGGATCGTTTTAATCGCATGAGTTCAATGATCTTGAAGGAAACCTTCACGAGCACTATGTTTGAGGAGTAACGTACTAAGAAGTTCCTTAAGGATATTGATAACATTTTGCTATAAAATGAAAAGGCTGAAATAGGTATGCTTTTGAGCAATCTTGTAAGTAAAAAGGAAAATGGAATATAAGGTAGTATATTATGGAAATGTCTAATCTCGCTTCAAAGTTTCAAGGCACTAAATTTAAAAGCTGTCTGAGGACTAGCTCGTGCATTTAGTTTTGAATTTTCTTCATCCACAATATGGTCAAATTTAAAGTAAGTTACAACACCTAAATGGGCAAATGGACTCTCAATGAGCTCATTTCTTATGATGTGTGAGAAGAGGAAAGGCTTAAGTGAGAAAGCGCATAAAGTGCTAACTTAGCAACTACCCCTTAGGTCAAAAAAAGGAGAAATTAGGACACCATAACATAAAGTGCAAAAAAAGATAAGTTGACATTGATGATAAAAAAAAAGACAAGTGCGCCTTGATTTGTAACTCGTTGAGTAACCGGGTGACTTCATTACCAATGTTGACATTCGCGTAAAAAGACAAGTTGGCAATTCTTGGTAGTTTTAAAAAAATAATAATAATATAGAAGAGTACAATAAAAGGGTATTTAGAAATAAAAACATATATGGTGGACAAGGGAAAATAAAACTTGAGTTTGGGGGAGTTGCGTGGGAATGTTATGTATGTCTACGAGGTGCTAAAGTGCTATGTGCTTTAGATGAGTTGAGCCAAAATTTCACCTTCCATCCTACCTTCACCCTTGCCTAGATTTACAAACCTAATGAAGTCCTATTGATTCTTAGTGGTGTGTTGATTTAAATTAGTGGAGAGAGTTGAGAAAAGCAAGCTTATAGGGTTTGAACTTATAATTAGAAGAAATTGATGTAGAACACATGCACATGGTCCTAACTAGTGTGACATTGATGATTTGGCACTTGGTTTTTCACACACACACAAGAAAGGTCCAAGCAGAGACGAAGCAATCTCTTGAATTTGCGATCAGCACTTGGCTGGAAATCATGTGTTTCTTTAGGCTGTACTTCTAACCCGTTTAGTAAGGACACAAAAATCTCTTGAGAATTCATCCACAAAGTATGCATTAGCTTTTTCTGTTTTAGCTCATTCTTCTTGTCTTGTTGTCACTTTTGTTTTGCACCAGTCGACAAGGGAAATTATCAACGTCTTGTTGGAAAACTCATCTACCTTTCACATACGAGACCTGATATTGCCTTTGCAGTGAGTTTAGTAAGTCAATATATGCACGCACCGTGTCAAGGACATCTTGATGCAGTGTATAGAATCTTGAGATACTTGAAGCAAACACCTGGAAAAGGCTTATTTTTTGCAAAAACTGATGATCGAATAGTGAAAGCATTCACTGATGCAGATTGGGCTGGATCCATTGATGATCAAAAATCAACATCTGGATATTGTACCTTATTGTAAGGGAATCTGGTGACTTGGCGCAGTAAAAAACAATCAGTTGTTGCTAGAAGCAGTGTAGAAGCTGAGTATAGAACTATGGCTCATGGAGTTTGTGAACTCGTTTGGATAAGAAGAGTGATGAAAGAGTTGAAAATTGACTTTGAAGAACCTATGCGGCTTTACTGTGATAAAAAGTCAACTATCAGTATAGCTCATAATCTTGTTCATCATGATAGGACTAAACATGTGGAAGTAGATTGACATTTTATTAAAGAAAAACTTGATGAAGACGTTATCAGAATTGAATACGTGCCTACATCTCATCAACTAGCTGATCTACTCACAAAAGGGCTATCCGAACAAACCCTTGAGGTACTTGTAGGCAAGCTTGACCTCATCAACATCTACAGCCAAGCTTGAGGGGGAGTGTGGAAGAAATTCAAATCCTATTAGGTTTAGTTAAACTTTGGATAACGTCAATCTTATTTTCTGATAGAATAGATGTGTTTTATTTAGGATTAGGATTAGCATATTAGTTTCTTATCTTTTGGGATTATTATCTTTATTGTAGCCTATTTAAAGACGAAAGTCTTCATTAATAAAATATATCGAATTTATTAAGATCTCTCTATTTTTATAATACTATAGAGAATTTGCACAATACAAAAAGGCAATTTTTTGAACATATCTGTTTAAAAACACATTCATGTTGTAGGTGAGGTTTGTACTCACTTATTTTGCTTGTAACTAGTCCGCAAACCAACTGACCTCGTCTATCGTTAGCCAATTATTTGTCCTGATTCACAATACTCTCATCATTAGAATAAGGTCCTAGATTGACTCTCATAGACCAGTTATTCCAGGACACTTAATTCCTTTTATCTAGCTCTAGTAAATCTAACATCTTAATCTATACCTTTTTAACTATTTAATTAATTCTAGATTTAATAAAATATTAAAGAAATAATTACACAACCACGATTAATTATTAATTAATTATACTCAATCAATTCCTAATTGACGTTCTTAAAATATAAATTACCTTTAATTATTATTAATTAAATATAATTAAGTAAAAATTTAATTGGGAATAATTAAATTAATTAATAACTAACGCATTTAAAAGTCAATCATTTCAAATCGTTATTAATTAATTGTCAGTGAATAATTAATTAATAATTACTTAAACAAAACATTTTCTTAAAATAACAATTAGTTGTATAAAATAATTAAGTAAATCCTAATTTAATAATTATTTAAAGTGAATTCAAATAGTTTTCGGATTTCTTTTTTTGTTTAGAAAAATATTTTCTTGATTCATTAATTTATTTATTTATTTACAAAATAAATTAATTAATTTACTTAATCATAGATGTGGATTTTAAGAAATCGTTCATCTTTTTGGGTTGACACTAGAGTCGCTAAATATGATTTGGGTTCCTTGGGCCCATGAAGGCCCTTGTTTAACTTGTGACCTTTCTAGAATTAGTGTTGGGCCTTAGGCCCAATTTTTGAGGCTTCGGAATGGTCATTTCTACACTAGAAATAGTAAGAAATATGCCAATATGAAAATCTTAAGAAAGTATATAGGCTAATTTTTAGTTATAGAAATTAATAGGCCATAATTTGTCAAGTTATGGTTCATAACCACATAAGTTATGGACAATAACTTGTCAAGTTATGGTTCATAACCATATAAGTTATGACGAAAACAGTAATTTGACCTATTTATTAACTTATGTAAACTATTGGCCTATTAATTTTAATTCATCTCAAGTCTTGGCCTATTTCCCTCTTTCTCCATTTCTACACTAAGTGAACTTTATCAATTTAGGCCTTTAGAGGCCCAATTCTAAATTTTGCTTGGACCCAAACTCTCTCTAAGTTTAAATTTAATATTATAATCAACTATTATATAGATCTAAGTCGTAGAGATATTGTGGGTATGATAAAATTACCTTTTATCCTTTAACAGTAGTAAAATGGACACTTTTGCCCCTGTACAGGCTTATTGGGTTTCAGACTCCAATTTAAGTCATTTACTCACTCAAAACATATTATTTGGGTTTAAGAAGCATTTTCACACAGAACCTTAACCTCTATTTCACTTAAGGTTTGTTAATTTGTGAAATGGTCTCGAATTACAACTTTTATAGTTTAGACCTCTTACCGGATAATTAACTTATAAGGAGTTTAATCCTTTAGTTTTCTCTCATTTGAGGCAGTGGAATAACATCCTAAACAACCCCTAAATATTAATAATTGCAGAAAATGCAACTTAGCACTTTGGACTCTCCATTTTTTTTTTCTAGTTTTTCGGTTCATGTTTCTAAATCATGTTTCTGGGTTCGTTTCTACTCCATTTATTCTCAAATTTTAACACAAGTGTCCTTATATGTCGTATCAACTGCCATTAAAATAGTTTTACCAGATTCAACTCCTAACTCATCCAATTGGATAACTTAGTCTCGGGTCTGTGCACCAATTTTCTGATTCGGTAACCTGCCTTCGAAAATTCATAATAAATTGTACAAAATTTGTATCAGGGTACATGATATATCAGTAGAAAGCTTATGATGCCTTCTATTTAGGCTTAAAATATCGTGCCCAGAGTTTACTCCTAACACGTCTAAATATAGACGTTATCCTGACTGGTCACAGTGATCACTGTGCAGGACACTAATCTTGAACAAACCATAACTCTAAAATTTTAAACTCAAATCAAGTGATTCAAAAGCCTAGTTTGTGATTCATTCTCTCTATTTTCATGCCATAAAAATATATTTTTATTCTATTTTCAAGACTTAGACGAAAATCATATTTCTATAAGACATATCCTCAAGTACAACTAGATCTAGGGTTTCTTGTTTAGATCTATACCTCTTCCTTCTCTAGGTTGGGGTTCTCCTTTCCTTTTACGCTCCAAACCTTCTTGATCTCCTTTAAACAAACTCTAGTTAGTTTATACCCAAATAAAGAGAAGAAAATCAACTATAAGACTAGAATCTTAAACATTTACCTTGCTAACATCTTTAGTTTGTAGACTTCTCCATCCAAGCTTCTTAGAAGTGGTGTTTTAGAGATTTGGGGGAGAATCAAGAGAGATTGGGCTGTGAAGAGGCTTGGGTGCAAATGAGAAATTTGAGGAGAGTTTTCTAGCTTACAAGAGTGAGAGTGCGAGAGAAAAATGAGTGAAGGAAGTAGAGTTTTTGGTTCCATCTTTTTCCTTATAAAGGAGGGGTCATGGGAGGACACATTTGGAACAAATTTTTGTCTCTAAATGAGCCGAGACCTCAGCTATAGAGAGGGAAAAAAGAAAGGGGGAACGCGAGGAATCAAAGAAGAGAGAGGGAGAGAGTAAAAATTAGCTACTTGATTGGTTAGTGCAAAGTTTGTCTCATATAGCATGCTTTATATACTTTGAAAGTGACATCTCTTCTCCTTTAAGACCATACATAAACCTTGTCTAAGGTTGCATGAAAGCCATGCATACTCCATTTATCTATCTTTTAAAATTTTGGTCAATATGTTTCCTTCTATTGAATCTCAACCATCCATTCATTCTCTAATAAATCTCCACGGTTGATCTAATCAAATCATATCCTACACCATCTCATCAAAATCATCTTTAATATCAATTGTTTGATCTTGTAAGACTTAATCGACACCATTGGTCAAACTTAAATATTAGACCTAATCTAGACCCTTGATTCTAAACCTTGTCTATAATGGTCCATTGATCTAAATATCTTCCTAATCATGTATTCTAACTAAACTCACTTAATTAAGCCAATTGTAAAACAATTTCTTCTTAAAATAGAAATGGGCATAATTCCAAGGTATTTTAACACACTTATTTGGAAGAAAGATCATACATCGTAAGGTGTTAATCCTCTCAAGGATTTCTTGCACTAAAGAACTGCTATTGAAAAATTCTATTGAGGTTGACTTCCTATTAAGTCACCGAAGAGTCTAATGTGACTCATTCATGAAAATGGGCATTATTGTTTGACCAATACATCATCGCCTCATTTATATATTTTTTCACGAACATGATAGTAGCAATCATTGATACTGGGTTTAAATATTCATGAAATAATTTAAACAATCATCAAACAATATCCATATGACAAAAATTTTATACTTAACGTCTGAATTTCAGTTAAGTTGTATGACTTGAATTTCCCATATTCTTTTCTTATTGGACCCTTATTTAGATCCTTAAAGAAAGTCAACAAGAAATTTTTTAATCATCAAAATTCATGTTAATTCATAACTTCTAACAGAACTTGATCATAATTAATCATAATAATGATTATTTAATAAAAATTACATAATCGTCTCAATACATATACCATCTCATATGGAAGTTTACAACCCATTATAAAGGTAGTAAATATAAGTTTCACAAGAAAAATCTTACGTTAAATTTTACAATTAAAATTTCTACTTTAGGATTTTCTTGAGTTTTTCACAATAAGGTTTAATAGGAGCCTAATGGGATAAGTATATAAGGACTTATAGGTTATGGTCCACAATACGGCAAATCATTTAGTCATTTTTCCTCTTTCCCATCTAGAGAGAATGCACCTCATTCAGGACTCTGGAGATTTAACTGAGGAAGACAATAACTCGTTAGTCAATCGTCGTAGTAATTCCGCAGTAGTGTCAATTGTTGCTATTATGGAGTCAGGTACACTTCCTCTACTTTTCTTGGTAATTTAGCATGATAGTTCTTTGGGATTTATGAGTATGGTGGTTAAAATATGTGCTTATAATTAAAGACTAACAACCACAACTTACAAAGGAATTTGACACCAGACATTTATTAGATCCACCAGTGAAGACGAATAAAGCACAAAAATAAATATATAAGTGTCGAAACCCAATAAGAAAAGACTTGTTTAGTCCATCCTTACTCGTTAGTAGTTAATATAAACGGAGCTACACATACTGCTTTTCCTCAATAAAATTTTAATTCCCACTCTTCAATTTACCTAGCGGAAAAAGAGACACAACTTTATTTATTCTTTCTTTTTTTTGTTTTCTTTTTTTTTTTTTTTTTTTTTTTTTTTTGTTAAAAAAAAAGTTTACAACGGTTTTCCGTAATAACTTTTTTTTTTTTTTTTTTTGTCGTAAAGAAAATGCTTACATGCGTTTACGAGTAATGACCCAAACAGATCGCTTCCGTTACTCCGACCATTCAGTTCTTTTGGGCTACGATCCATAGGCCCAAGGAACATAGTCCTTTTCGGTCCAAGACCTTTACGCCCATATGATAGATACGGGTTATCTACCTAAACGTCTATTTTGAGCATCTAAATCTAAAAATATATACTTATTTATTTATTTAGAAAACTATCCACTAGCATATAAAGACGTTTATATTCTTATATGAGAGAAAAGGAAAAAAAATAATAAAACATCAAAATAGAAAAGTCTTCAAAATAAAATCATAATTTGATTAATGTGAATACGAAAGTCAAATGAAACTTGAATATTACAAAGATGTCTATTTAAATAAAGATAAAATTTCTTTAAAAAATAATAAAAGCATCACATCATTTTCTTCAAAAATATTAGAAAAATGCGTTCCATTTGAACACAACTATTTAATTAAAAAAAATAAATTCACCAACTCCATAAAACGACGTCCTTCCACAACTCCCTCTACCATATATAAATGAATATGTATTTTCATTAAGATAACGATAATATCATTATGAAATAGAATTTGTCAAACATAATAAACATGAATGTATCAAGAATAAGCATTTTCATTATTTTAACAGAGACGTCATTATAAAACAGACTAATGATAAAAGTTCACAAGAAATCTGAAATGACAACAATACATGAGGCACGAACTCATAAAGAAAGATTTTTCATTACTATAATGACAATATCATTACAAACAATAATGAATATAATAATTTATAACGAAATAGCAATCATCTAGCGAGTTCTTAAAGTATGAAAGATGAAAAATGTGGTATATTAATCTTCATTATTAAAATGAATATAATACCGAAGAAACACCATAATGTACAAATGAGTATATATTTTCATTAACATAATGATAATATCATTATGAAATATAACTTATAATACATTAGAAACATGAAAATGTACTCAATAATAAGCATTTCATTATTTTAATAGAGATATCATAATGAAACGGATTAAATATAAAAGTTTGTAAAAAAATTTGAAACAACACGAATACACGATATATATATATATATAAACACATAAAGAAAGACATTTCATGATTGTAAGGGATAAAATAAGATCAATTTCATTATTTTGAAATAGCAACTATCATATTTCTAAGGGAGAAAATAAAGCTCAATTTTATTAATTCACACATTCACTATTTGAATGATAATTACATAATGAAGCAGAATAAATAAAATAATATAAACAAGATGTAAAATGATAATAAATTGTGAAAAAGAATATAAAATTTATATACATAATAAAAACAATAATGTAAAGAATGACGATTTATATAATAATCATAATGTCATTACGAAAATAATGAATTCATTTTCCTTGTTGTAATGATAATATAATTAAACAATGAAAATGAGCAAGTTTAAAAAAAAATCGAAAAAATGAAAAAACAAAACATTAAAAACATAATAGAAACATTAAAGCAAATAACAGAGAATACACCCACCTAATTAAACACAAACAAACAAAAAAGAGAATGAAGGAGAAAGAAGACAATAAAGCAGACCTCAACTAAAAATTTAAATCGTCCATGAACTTAAAAAGTACATCTATATAGAACAAAAAGAAAAAGAAGAATCAACTTGCAGGAAACGAAAAAAAGGGACAAGCAAACCTGGTGGAAAGAAAAACCAAGCAAATAGGAAGGTAAAATGAGTGAATATGGAGTAGAACTGAAACGTTGAGCATAATTGAGTTTTAAACTAAAATTCAAAATATAAATATGGAAGGGAAAATGAAGTCAGTCAGTCAACTCAATAAGTCATTTAATCACAAAAATATCGTATTAATTATCACCTCAACAAAAAAAAAAAAAAAAAAAAAAAAGGCAATGTCAACTAAAAAAGAAACTGGAAAATAAAATGAATCAAGATATCCACTTAATTATGTAAAAAAAAAAAGTGCTCAAAATATATGAAAAGGGTATAATAGGTATAATAAGTCCTATATTTATAACAAATAGATATTTTTATAATATTGTATAACAGTAGACATTTCTAAATTTAAAAATTTCGTAATAGACGTTTTATGTAATTACTTGGATAGATACCCATAGTTATTGAACCAAAAGTTCTTCTCAACAGCTGAAGAGACGCACTTTGACTTGTACTTGGACGGACGGCACTTTGAATAGAATCTTTTGGTCTAGAGTCTTAGGAACACAATTCTACCATCGTAATACTCGCCCGGTAGCTAATTAATTGCCACAATTTTTATTTGCGATGGAAATGTAATTTGGATGAACCCCCACAATACAGGATATCAAAATCTCTTTATAATCTGCCGTCCCATCACAAAACATCCATATTTGGCCAAATTAGCCCAAAATACGCGCAGAGACGACCAAATGCTTGGCCGAAACTTGCATTTGGACAAACACATCAAGGTCAAACTGAGCTAATTAATTTTATATGATTTCAGAGCAACAAATAATAACAGTAATCTTATATGAAATCCCACTCTCGTACATACTTGGATTACATAATCAGAGCTTCTTGATCGCAGAAAACATAAAGGCCGTACCGCTGAAAAATTAACCCAGCACTAGATCCTCTATGGAGAAAACTAGCGACCCATATGATAAGTCCTTTTACCAGCCCTCTTTGGAAAAGTTTGAATATTTCGTCGACCAAAATAAGGAGGTAATGGCATTTCGCTTTACTACGTTTAATACCACGTCGTAACATTTTTCCAGTGCTACTACATGTATTATGTGTATATATATGTTTCAACCAATTATGATTTTTTTTTTTTTTTTTTGGCAGCAAATAAGCAATTTGGTAAGCAATGGATGCGTTGACTTCCGAGGGAGAATAGCATCAAAGCAAACGACTGGAGGATGGAAAGCCTCTCCCTTCATCATAGGTAATTAGCTTAATTAGAAATGTTGATGTGAAATGCTCGTTCATCAATATACGAATTAATTTTTGTTTTCATTGATTTAACAAACTAATGTGCTTATTAATTTGGCAGTGAATGAAGTAGCGGAGAGGTTAGCCTTTTTCGCGATTGGCGTAAACATGGTCGCTTACTTGGTTTTAGAAATGCAAAAATCGCTTCCAAATTCCGTCACCATCGTCACCGATTGGATCGGAGCTGCATATGTTCTCACAATCCTTGGAGCTTTCCTGGCCGACGCTTACTTGGGTCGATTCAAGACCATTGTGACCTTCTCTTGCATTTATGCTGTGGTAATTAGCTAGAAAAAATAAAATTAGAGTAGCTAGCTCCACAAATTTATGTCTTGAAATATGTGACGTCTAAGTTATCCTAGATATATATATATATATATATCTATATAATTATGAAATTCTCATCAATATGCATGGCAGGGAATGGTGATGTTGACACTTTCAGCCTCCATAGATAGGCTACGTCCACCTCCATGCAAGGCCAAACCATGCACAAAGGCAACGGACGGCCAATCTGTTTTCCTTTACGCGGCTTTGTCTCTGATTGCCCTTGGTACTGGTGGAATTAAGCCCTGCGTTTCCTCGTTTGGCGCCGACCAATTCGACGAGGCTGACGAGAAGGAAGCCCTGAAAAAATACGCCTTCTTCAACTGGTTCTTCTTCGCAATAAACATGGGTGCACTATTAGCCATAACAGTCCTGGTTTACGTACAGGACAAGTTTGGGTGGGAATTGGGCTTTGGAATTCCGGCTGGGGCCATTATCTTGTCCATCATCATCATTGTTGTTGGTGTTCCCTACTATCGCTATCAAAAGCCCATGGGAAGCCCATTTACCAGGTTTCTTCAGGTCTTTGTGGCTGCTCTAAGGAACCATTTTAGAGGGGTAGATGTCAACCGTCAAGATGATCTTTACGAGGTCAGGACTAAAGAGTCTGATATCATTGGAGCTCGAAAGTTAACTCACACATCACAATATAGGTGGGTAATAAAACTCTAGGAATATTTTCGCCTTTAGCTGGGTTTGTTTCTCAATTCTGATTTGGGTTAATTTGGATATTTATGGGCATTAATATCATTAGATGGGATCAGATACTGTAGGTTCAAATATACCCTTCAATTTTTTTACATTTTCTTTTCTGGAATATAAAGGAAAAAATGATAAAGAGATCTCCCCTGTTTCCTTTGTCAAAAAGTAAGGTAAAAAAGATTCTAAAATGACTGACAATTACATAACTCTTTTAAGAACTATTCACAAAAGTGCGTCTATCCTAATAATGATTATTAGTGTCAACTGTTCCGAATCACACCTCTTCAGGTTTGATCATTAATTAATTGGAATTCAAAAAGAAGGTAAAGAAAGCCAGAAAAGCTTGTTCATGATCTCCTTTCGAACTGTTATATAACAGTAGTACTACAGTCCTAGAGAAAGACGTCTTACAAGAAGGGGGGGAAGGAAAAAAGAATCTTTTTACTGAATACGCTGAACGTATTTAAAAAGAGAATCTTTTTACTGAATACACTGAACGTCTTTAAAAAGTAAAAACAGGACAAAATAAAATGGTTTTTTGTAACATGCTAATTAAATTTATTTCGTAGTTTTATTCACCATTCTTGTTGTCGTGCTCATATGTAGCAACTATGTTCTCCAATATATAAATTATATAGGATATCCATGTGAAAATAAATACTTCTTCATCACTGCCCACGTGCCTGATAAACAAAAACAATTATCATACAAATATTTCTTTGGTACTATTTCTTTTAAAACCTGCAGTTTGTTATTGGGACATTAAACATTAATTAGGAATGCACGCTAATTTTTTTCGTAGTTTTACTTTTGTTGCATGCTCATTTCAAGTCAAATTATGCATAATAACAGCATTTTTCCTGATAATCTGTTTGTTATAACGTCAAATTAAGGTTTCTGGACAAAGCAGCCGTTATAACAGACCCACTATGCGACAAAACAAACCGTTGGAGGCTCTGCACAGTGACCCAAGTAGAAGAGCTCAAATTCTTCATCAGAATCCTCCCAGTATGGGCCTCCACGGTGGCCCTCTCCATCTCTTTCGCGCAATTCTCAACCTTCTTCGTCAGCCAAGCCTCCATCATGGACCGCAACCTCGGCCCGAACTTACAGATCCCCTCGGGCTCTGCGCCGATCTTCGGTGCGGTCAACGCCCTCGTCCTCGTCCCCCTATACGAGAAGTTCATAATTCCCACCCTCCGCCGCCGCACTGGCCACCACCGCGGCATCACCTCGCTGCAGCGCATGGGCGTCGGCCTCTTCGTCTCCATCTTCGCCACCACCTCCGCCGCAATCGTCGAGAGAAAACGCCGCGACGACCCGACGCTGCCGGCCGTCAGCGTGTTCTGGCTGGGCCCCCAGTTCTTCCTCATCGGAAGCGCCGAGGTGTTCACGTACGTCGGACAGTTGGAGTTCTTCTACGACGAAGCGACCGACGGCACGAGGAGCATCAGCAGCGCGATGTTCTTGAGCGAGATCGGAATCGGGAGCTGGCTGAGCACGGCGATTGTGAAGATCATTGGGCGTTTCACTGGTGGGGAGGAGAGAGGGTGGTTGAGGAATGATCTTAACAAGAGTAAGCTTGATTATTTTTATTGGATTTTGACCTTAATTAATGGGGTTAATTTCGTGGTATATGTTTTGGTGGCTTGGAGTTACAAGGGGAGGGGTAAGGCAAGTAATAGTGTGAGTGATGACGTCGTTTTTGATGATTATGGGGATAGTCGTCGGGGTGGGAGAGACGGAGATTTGACCATGATTGAGTTGTGACTTTGTGAGGAAAAATGGAAAGTTGGTGTTAATTAGAAAGTCGTTTTGTATGGGATTTTAGCTTTTTACTGTCGCATATTATGTATATGAACATTGATTTTTGTTAAATCACTTAAATCTCTTTGCTTTATTGACATGTAGTTAACGTTTCAAGTAATTTGATTTCGGTCATAGTTACCAATTTATCATTCATGTCTACTTATAGCATAACTTCCTTTCCTTTTCTAGACAAAATAAATTATGCTAAGCGTATAACCAAAATTAAATTAAGAGAAGGGATATGAGCATAAATAGCCCTTGTTGAACTACTTTATTTGACGAATGTCTCAACTTTTTCAAAATTAAATGAATGGCCGTTTTCTTTTCAAAGAGCTTTTAAGAAGATAAAACTTGAACGGTGTAAAGGGGGGAAAAAAAAAAAAAGTACTAGTTTATATCAGCAAAGAAAACAAAACAAAAAAGTGGAAAAAAAAAAGTACTAGTTTATATCAGCAAAGAAAACAAAACAAAAAAGTAGAAAACAAACTAAGCAGTGGTTTCACTTAGACATGCTCATTACCCAAAGCCTTCTGGTTTCTTTTTAAAAAAAAAAAAAATTATTAGTTACAATAATTGAAGCGTTCATAGCGTCCATCCATGTATGCTCTTCTTATATCATGTGGAGAAGCCAGAAAAAGTGAGATTGGAATTCAGGCCTCATTCGTTTTTGATAGTTCGAATTATAACTCTCACATAAATTCACTTTTTAACTTAAATTTTCAACTTGAATGAACGAGACGAGCAGGGCCTCAATCACTAGAATATTTTATTTTTAGTCATTATTTAAAGTGGGTGGCTCAAATCAGCCAGCCAATCTAATTTCTCTTTAAGAGAATATATACGTCAATGATGAATAGAATTTAAACTTGAAATTTGGTTTATCTTCTAATATGATTAAATTTAGGTAAATTTGAAATGAATTTAAACTATTTTCATAACTTATTTAAATATCCGTCAATGATGAATAAAATAATAAGGATTTGGCCGGTTTCATCCTCGCTTCAGATCTAGAATAAATTTAAACATTATTTTTTTTTTGTTTGTGACTCATCAAAATTTTTGTCAATAATGAATATAACGATACTAAATATAATAATGATCATTTAAACCTCTCCTATTTTAATAGCCTCTCTAATTTCTAGAGACCCAAGAATTTGTAAATAAGCAAACTCAGAAACTCACGCGCACATTCTGAACACAAGTGTTTTACGAGTTCAATCTTAAATGATCTACGTCTTTGGGGAAATTCGTTACAACTATCCAACTTATTGATGAAGAATTACAATACTCAGGGCCCGTTTAGTTCACTGATTCGAGTTTTTAATTCGAGTTGAGATGTGATTTTATGTGAGAGCTTTTTACTGTAGCAAAAAAGTTAGATGTGACTGTTTCTGAGAGCTTTTTACTGTAACAAAACTCGAATCAACAAAGTGAACGGGGCCTCAAACTCTCCAAGAACGATCAGTGTATAAGTCTTTGAATGAGAAATAGAAGAACAAAAAAAAGTAACTTTTTTAAGGAAATAAACTTATTCCTTATTTTGGCTTGATCCTTGTGACCAATTCTTTCCACACACAGGAGTTTTAATTGTGTTAAAAGTCATCATTTTAAAGATTAGGTGTTGTAAAAAGTTTATAGTACTACATTGCTAGTATCGGTTTTAGTCTTTTAATAATTTATAAGATAATATGAATAATGTAGAGACATAAAATAAAAGAACACGAGAGAAATGGTATCGCGGTTCGGTAACCCTACTCCGCGGGGCCACGCCCAGATGATGAACAATCTACTAAGAACCCTTTTACAATTCAATTGGACTTAATCTACCCGAGACTCCCTCTCTAAGAAGACGCCTATGAACTTGCAATTTCCCAATGGACTTGAACAACAAGATCCCCTCGACTTTTTAACATTGGAATCCCTCCAACAAAGTTTTTCTCCCGAAAAACACTCAAATCATCTCACTCAATACAAGTGCTCACCCCTGTCTCACAACCCAGTAAAAACTCATCAAGAGGCGTACCAAGACTTAAGGAACACTTTCAATAAATAAGCAAGCTGTGAATAGCTTGACACATCTTCAATTAATTCGCTGAACCACATCTGTTGCAGATCTTGTTGCAACAACACTGCAACATAGCTGTTACGGCCAATTTTCTCAAAACCAGACGAATCAATCTTCTTTAATTCTGAAATCTTCCCAAAATTGATAAACGAACCTGGACACGTTCTTAGGCAACATAGGAAGATCATCCAGCTATGAAATCTCAATCAAGAATCAATCAAATCAATTTTCCATCTTTGGATCAATGGTTGACTTAGAAAAATAGAAACTAAAACAAATTTCTGGATTTTTTGAAACTTGTCAAAAGAAACTTGCCAGCTACATAGATATTTCCAAATGTAATCATCCCAGCAAAGCATTCCCAAAATAATGTCAATCAAATCCGATTACAATCAATACACAAATTGGGAAACAAATCCCAACAATCTCCCCCTTTGGCATTGTTTTGGCAAAACTAATAATAGCAACTAAAACACAATATTTTTTGTACAAATCAAGTTTCCAGACTACTTACTCCCCCTTTTTGACAAAAATAAGGCAAAAATTTTAGAAAATGAGCAACACCTTCCTGCAAATCGCTCCCCCTGAATCTCCACGAGTTATACTCCCCCTGAATATGGTATTCTCCGATGCATATTGCTTTTATCACCTATCAAAA